ACATCATTTCAAATAGGCTACATGTCATATTAAACAGCATATAAACACTCTAAATAGATCAGGAGCCAGACATGGAGCCTACGAAGGAACGAAAATGAATTATTTAGGCTGTATTATTTCAATTATTTCAAGGCTCTAGCCTACAAAGAAGTACATTGTGAAGCATTTGCGAGTGCGACACAGTAGGTTGGTAGGGACATAAAGCCCTCAGCATTTAAACAACATTTAGTTGTATTAAATAATTATAGTCTATAAATTGCGCATATAGGCTGTGACTTACTTAGAATTAAATGAAAAATGAATAGTGCCTTTGAATTCATTTTTAGAAACACGAGTTCGGCCAGTATGTGGCTTCAGGCTCATGCAATGGTGCCTGGAGAGCAGGCCAGCAGTGGAGAATAACGACATAATCGGATAGCTACAGATAACTGGGAAGCTGTTATGTTATCAGATAGCTTAGCTAGCTAATTGATATGAACGTTTCCGAAGAGTACAATTCACAAGCTTGACCGCCCTCCTCAAGTTTCTTAGCCGATCGCGACACCTCAAAAGTGAACTGATGAGGGCCTCCCCAGTGGCACGGCGGTCTAAGACACTGCATCGCAGTGCTTGAGGCGTCCAATACAGCCCCGGGTTTGATACCAGGCTGTGTCTGGGAGACCCATGGGGCGGCACATAATTGGCCCAGCCTTGTCCGGGTTAGGGGAGGGTTTGGTCGGCCGGGAGTTCCCTGTCGCGCTCTTGTGGCGGGCCGGGCACCTGCAAGCTGACTTCGGTCACCAGTTGGAGGGTGTTTCCTCTGACACATTGGTGCAGCTGGCTTCCGGGTTAAGTGAGCAGTGTGTCAAGAAGCAGTGCGGCTTGGTAGGGTCGTGTTTCGGAGGACGCATGGCTCTCGACTTTCGCCTCTCCCAAATCCGTAGGGGAGCGATATGACAAGACTAACTACCAATTGGGGAGGAAAAGTACAAAATAATAAGTTAGCTGATGAGGCGACGCAAGCGGGACACTTAAGGCTGAGGAGTACGTTTCACACATCCCCATGTGCTATACTATAGTGGTGCGCGGGTCAGCTGTTTGTTCACTCAATAACCCATCCGCAACTGCCCGACTATGTGATCAAGTGAAAATCTGAACACCCGCACCCAACCCTATCCCACAAATATAGAAAATGCGCTATAGGCAACAGTCAAATACAGCAGATCGATTTTTTTGACGGGGTGCAGGATTTCTTTTGTGCCTGATTTAGATACGTTTCTGCTTATAATTTCAGAGATTTCCAACAATTTGTTAGTCAACTTGTCTATAATTAGATACATGCAGCTTCTCTTCAGTCATATGTTGCCCTAGAAGACTAAATAAACCCTTGCTCAACAGAATGTCATAGATCAATAGAATGAATGCTTCAATCTATACTGAACAAAAATATAAATGCAACATGTAAAGTGTTGGTCCCATGTTTCATGAGCTGAAATAAAAGATCCCAGAAATGTTCCATACTGCACAAAAAGCTTATTTCTCTCAAATTTTGTGCACACATGTTTACATCCCTGTTAGTGAGCATTTCTCCTTTGCCAAAATAATCCATCCACCTGACAGGTGTGGCATATCAAGAAGCTGATTAAACAGCATGATCATTACACAGGTGCACCTTGTGCTGGGGACAATAAAAGGCCACCCTAAAATGTGCCGTTTTGTCACAACACAATGCCACAGATGTCTCAAGTTTTGAGGGAGAGTGCAATTGGTATGCTGACTGCAAGAATGTCCACCAGAGCCAGATCATTTAATATTGGCCATTTAAGAATTTGGCCGTGCTTCCAACTGGCCTCACAACCACAGACCAAGCGTAACCACACCAGCCCAGGACTTCCACATCCGGCTTCTCCACCTGTGGGATCATCTGAGACCAGCCACCCCGACAGCTGATGAAACTGTGGGTTTGCACAACCGAAGAATTTCTGCACAAACTGTCAGAAACCGTCTCAGGCAAGCTCATCTGCGTGCTCGTCGTCCTCACTAGGGTCTTGACCTGACTGCAGTTCAGCATCGTAGCCGACTTCAGTGGGCAAATGCTCACCGATGGCCACCGGTATGCTGAGGTCAACGTTGTGAACAGAGTGCCCCATGGTGGCGGTGGGGTTATGCAGTGGTGGAAAAAGTACTCAATTGTAAAGATACCTTAATAGAAAAAGTAAAAGTGAGTCACCCAGCAAAATTCTACTTGAGTAAAAGTCTAAAAGTATTTGGTTTTAAATATACTTAAGTATCAAAAGTATAAATCATTTCACATTCTTTATATTAAGCAAACCAGACGGCACAATTTTATTTTTATTTACGGATAGCCAGGAGCACACTCCAACACTCAGACTTCATTTACAAATGAAGCATTTTGTGTTTAGTGAGTCCGCCAGATCAAAGGCAGTAGGGATTACCAGGGATGTTCTCTTGAGATGTGTGTGAATTGGACCATTTTCCTGTCATGCTAAGCATTTGAAATGTAACAAGTGATTTTGGGTGTCAGGGAAAATGTATGGAGTAAAAAGTACATTTTCTTTAGGAATGTGGTGGAGTAAAAGATAAAGTTATCAAAAATATAAATAGTAAAGTACAGATACCCCAAAAAACTACTTAAGGAGTACTTTAAAGTATTTTTTCTTAAGTACTTTACACCACTGGGGTTTGGTATGGGCAGGCATAAACTACGGACAACAAACAATTTGCATTTGATCAATGGCAATTTGAATACACAGAGATACTGTGAAGAGATCCTAAGCCCATTGTCGTGCCATTCATCCGCCGCCATCACCTTGTTTCATCATGATAATGCACGGCCCCATGTTGCAAGGATCTGTACACAATTCCTGGAAGCTGAAAATGTCCCAGTTCTTCCATTGCCTGCATACTCACCAGACATGTCACCCCATTGAGCATGTTTGGGATGCTCTGGATCGACGTGCACGACAGCGTGTTCCAGTTTCCACCAATATCCAGCAACTTCACACAGCCATTAAAGAGGAGTTTGAAAACATTCCACAGGCCACAATCAACAGCCTGATCAACTCTATGCGAAGGAGATGTCGCGCTGCACGAGGCAAATGGTGGTCACACCAGATACAGACTGGTTTTCTGACCCACACCCCTACCCTTTTAAGGTATCTGTATTCCCAGTCATGTGAAATCCATAGATTAGGGCCTAATTATTTTATTTCCTTAAATGAACTGTAACTCAGTAAAATCTTTGAAATTGTTGCATTTATATTTTTGTTCAGTGTAGTTTTAAACTGTAGCTCAAGTATGTAAAAAATACAAATTTTAAAGATTTCTATACAAATTTGTACACAGTTCCAGCATTTTGTAAAATTCTGTATTTATTCATGATTTACAAAAGGCTAAAATTAAACAATTTAAATGATTAAAATGTGAAACCTAAAATGAGAAACATGAATGAAGTTGTATACAGTTAACATCTTCAAAGCTGAAACAGAATATTGCCACTGTTACTTTATGCATAATTAAAGTTAACAGTCAAATCTGGTCCATGTTCTCCTGAAAAAAAAAAATATATATTTACACAAGATGGAGTCACTCAAAAAGCTGTGAATGAAGAGATGTAGGGGTTTAAGACTGGAGAGATTTACTTCATGTAAATAGCATACTGCCCAAATACTTCAAATAATATTTACCTACAGTAGCCTATAGGTCCAAATGTATTCCATGTTTTATAGATTTAACAGAATGCTCAAACATTTTAAATAAACAAAATCTGTGCAAGTACATAAGGTTCAAATAAATACCTGCTATGCAAACAAGGTTCTTACTTTTTTTATTTGAACTGAAATTGAAGTAATTTCCCTCATACTGGTAATGTATACAACTGGTCAAATTTCACAACTCTGCAAATTACTATTCAATTCAAACAAAGAAAATCGATACTAAAAAGTGGGGGGAATAGAAAACAAACTGTTCAACTGATAACACCCCCATTGACAGTGAGAACCAAAAGGTAGGAAGGAGTTGTCTCAATTTCCTACGTCACACTTCTATAAAGTCTGAACCGTCCATTTCTGAAGATAAACACCAAATGACAGTTGCTACTATTAAGAAGTGTAAGTTATGTTTGGAACGAGAGGGATATTTACAGTGTGGGTGTGCACTCAGGTGGACCCCCAGTAGGACCCAGTAAACCAGTTTATATATGTGGAAGTCATGTGAAGACATGGCATCTTCCAGTAATATCTGGAGCAAAACTAAACCCACATTCTAAGGAATGAAGAACAGTGTATCGCAAACCAGAATGGACAACATTACTCCATTTGAATCACAGAGTCACAGGAGGTTGGTGGCACCTTAATTGGGGAGGACGGGATCATGGTAATGGCTGGAGCGGAATTAGTGGAATGGTATCAAATACATCAAACACATGGCTTCCATGTGTTTGATGCCATTCCATTTGCGCCGTTCCAGCCATTATTATGAGCCGTCATCCCCTCAGTAGCCTCCACTGCACTCAGTATAGGAAGAAGTTTAACTAAAACGATTGGTCTGGTATGGAAAGCCTGGGCATTTATTTCAACAAGGAGAAATGTAAATTGTGAAAATATGTAATGCAGAAAGAGCATAAAATAACACCATAAAATATTCCACATTACAGTAAGCTATTACATTTTTTTTTAAATGAGCAAAACTTTTCATCCCTAACCCAAGAATCATCTTACAAACAAAAATATATCCCCCCTTCACGTGATTTCAAATGTGTCTTACTAGTATAATTAAAATGTTTTTACAGTGCTTTATTTTAATATATCTTTGATAGTTTAAGAGGGAAATTAAGCAAACAAATGTCTCTCCTATTGCAATGATACATTTAATAAATCGTACGTAATGGTCCAGTTATTAAATAAAAACAAAAAAGGAGAGTCACTGGGAAACAAAAGCTGGCTCTCTTTCTCGTTGCTGAGTCGGGGCTTGGCGGTTTGTCTTGCTAAGGCGCCAGTCTACTACTTTGTATTGAGTTCACTTTCCAGCTCCATGAGTTTTCGCGAGGCCTTGACTTTGTTGGACACTTCCTTCCCTTGGGAAAAGAGCCGCTGGCGCTCCTTGAAGGTCATACTCTCTGGTGCTTCTCCAGTTAAAGTGTTTTCCTGTTCTTGACCACTGCAATGAGAAAAATAACCACAATATGACAAACATATACTATACCACGTTGTGAGTTCGGAGAATTCCTACATTACAACGTCTCAGTTTCTGATGGTCCTTCATTCAAGACCCAGTTGAATGGGAGAGATGCATGGCAGGCCTCACCCTTTTGTCCACTTCTCTCGCAGGTCCTTGTAAACTTCTCCTGATCCTACAACCCCGGTTGTGTTTCCAGTGTACGAATTAAATCCTGTATTCATTAATTAATTGGGGAAATAGAGCACATTAGTTAATGATCTATTTAGTTTTAGTACCATGTTGGCTGATTAAACCCACAGCGTGTTTTAAAAAGATGCTGGGTAGAAAAAAACAGCTTTATATTAACAATTTATTCACTGGGATTCAATTACCTGTTTCAGTACACGAACAGTACTGCACGCCAATGCAAAGTTATTGTGACGTAACACTGTGTCAACTGTAAATTGTTGCCAAGTCACAGTCCAGGCTATATCTGATTGTTATCTGTACCCAGCAACTTTTCAGTCACGTTCAAATTCTACAACAAACTGCGCTTTTTCCACAGACCAAAACAAGCCGCTGGGACTAGATTAGCTGACTGAATAGCGTTAGTGCATACCAAGGCACGCCTGAAGCAGCAGCGTCTGTGAAACAAGGGTGTGGGATCAAAGGTGGAGGTCAACCATTAAGGCATGTAGCACCCGAGGTAAACATCAAGCCTGTTATGACAAAACTATTTAAAAACCGCTGGATGTTAGGTAGGAGCTCATCAAAGCCACAGGGGCCTGAATGAGGACTGATTTGATGTCCTAACAGGCATTCTAACCGAACACCACTGACCCCCAGGTGACCTCTACCTCTGACCCACAGTAGGCATTAAATCAGTAGGCTCACGTCTGTGTGTCTGTCAGGGCCATGCCAGCGGAGGGCTCGGGCTGGCGTCCCTCACACTAACCCAGAACTCCCACCAATAGAATCTGACTGGTTGTGTTCCAACAAACGCTGTGTGTGTGTGGAAGCACAACCAGAATACAAATGCATGTTGAGTTTGTTTTAAATGGAATGAAACTGGGGATAACAGGGCAGACAAACACATTGACTTGTGTGAACCGAGGCAGGACTCCACTGGCAGGGTCAAGTTCTTCTGGTGCAGAACCGGCTCTCAGAGTCTACAGACTGGTTGATAAGTTGGTAGCTATCCAAGATCTGTCCCCTGAGCTAAAACAACACCTTCTGAACCCTCCAATAACAAAGCACTACAGAAAGGGCCTCTGATGGTTTGATTTCATTCTTTTCGTAAGCCAAATGTAAGCTTATACAGAACAGTACTTTGGCTTCAGATGTAATGTAAGTCAACCAAAGGTCTTTCTATATTTTAGAGCCATGGATGATGTGTTCCTTTCATTCCAAAAAGACAAGCACAAATACCCCTGGCTCCAACAATTCACTTTAGTTAGATTTTGCTGATATTCTTTTAAGATAAAGTTGAGCAGGAGGTGGAATCTAGACATCTAGACGTTTTATCTATCAGAGAGCTGGGTTGCCCTTCACCTTGATGCTGCCAGTGGATTGTGGTAAACAGAGGGAGCCAGTGGTTCAAGTGGAGACTGGTCACCTGAACCACGGCATGGCCTCTGAGAGGGAGGAGGGAAGCAGCAGCATTAGACAATGTCACTGACACACATGCGGGACAGCCAGAGCCACAGACAGACAAGGCACAGACAAAGCACAGTCATGGCAGACAGACAGGGCAGAAACAGTCATAGCAAACAAAAAGAGGAGTGAACAGAACACATGACCACTGAAAGGAGAAGCGCAAAGCAGCAGAGGCAGTAAATAGCAATGGATATCATCAGGCCGATTGGAATGAAGCTTGGATTCAGCGGGGGGCGGGTTGCAGATTTTGTTGATGTGGGATTATAGCATGGTTAGTGATTGGTCCCTCAATTTGGGTGAGGAATGCAACACATTAACAACAGGCCCACCACACATCATCATCATCATCCATACTGGGTAGGGAAGGGGCACTGGTACTGTGTGCAGGTGTTACATGCAGGGTGACATTCACTGAGCCTCTTGACTCAGACCGTATTGCATTACTGGCATCTTTTGTTCATGGCTGTTTAAAGGGTTCACATGCGAGGGCTTGCATTCACATTTTCTTTAAGAACATTTACCAACATAGACTTATCGGTCTCTAAGATGGAAAGGCACAATCCTGTGATTCTTGTCAATGGTGGATATCATTCAGTTATTTACAGCATTTCTAATTTAGAAATATCTTATTAGTTCCTTATAAACTACAGTAGACTATGTTATGGCTCACAATTAAACACTGAAAATGTATTGTATTTAGTGTAAAATAATACTAATAGAGATATTACACTTTTGAATGCCCTTCTCACCAAGACACTTAAATTATTGTGGTTTGTTGACCAAAAATGCACAGACTATCCCTAAAATGTCAAGCAAAGTTTATCTTGAAAGAACTTTATATTAATTTTAATTACTAATAAAACAGGTTCCAGCTGTGGATGAAAATAACTAAAAGTTAACACTTTTGCCAGTAGGGGTCACTAAAGGCTTTAAAACAGAATACGTTGTGCCACAGATTTAGACCATAGAACTAGATTATAGTAAAGTAGTACTACCGCTCAGTAATCTAATGAGTGATTGGATCCCTGACAGAGCTTTAAACAGCCACAGACAAAGGCAATGCCTCACTCAACAGATCTTTTCCCCTTTGCCAAGTGAGCCTGAGGAGAGCTGCTCCACTTAGGTCCCACCACAGTGACTGTGTGATAGATAAGAAGCCAGCGTCTCAGAGTTCCCTAAAGCCAACCCCACCACCAAGCAGCCGTGGGGCCCACGGGGGGGTTGGGCAGGCGGGCGGGTGGCAGGCCACCATCACAGCAAAACCAAACACATGGGCGGGCTGGCGGGCGAGGAGCGGCAACACCAACAGTACTATGATTGGATATCTGGAGCGCGATCACAGCGAATCACGGGTTGGTTTATCGATTGCTTTTACTTGCTAGAAGGATGATTGGAGGAAGAGGAACGGGTGAGGACAGAGGACATTTTCGACAAACAAACGGAATCTGATTTGCTAGTGGAGGAGTGGAATTTCCAAAAAGAGAGGACAACAAACAATAACAAACTGATGGGAGATGGCGGGAGAAAAAACTAATTACAGGTTGATTGGCAACTACAATACAGATCTACTGGATTGTCGAGAGAGAGAGAGAGAGAAGGAAAAAGGAAGCCTCTACTGAAAAAACAGGAATACAAAAATATAACACAAAAAAACATGAACGAATGAATGAATGAGAGATCTGGAGTGGGAGGCATATGGGAGGGCGTGTCCTCTCTCCTCTCCGTGTCTACCTTTAGAGTTGCCTGTCGGGATGAAGCTGAGGCTGGGTTTGATGGGAGGGGGAGGGGGCTGCCCTGCAGTACTGTTGGCATTGACAGCCGGCGGCTGGAATGAGCTGGACAGAAAGATCCCATCAGACATAGGACGGGGCTTGCGCGCAGGCGGCTGCGGCTTGTGAGCGGGCGGGAGGTCGCCATAGGACTTCCTGGTGGCGGAGAGCTTAACCTGACCTGCTAGGCCTGTAGCGTCCTCCTCCTCGTCATTGTATGAGACAAACTTGGCAGTGTACAAGGTGTCAGGGGAGACGACCTGGGTTTTGAGGTAGGAGGTGTTTCTCTGAGGCGGGGGTGGAGGAGTGTTAGTGGCGGTGGTTGCGGGGGATGCAGTGGGAGAGGGGGGCTGAGGCTGGTAGTCCCTGGGGAGGGGAGGTCTGTACAGACCAGGCTCGTCAGGCGTCAGCAGCTTGCGCTCGGCCTCCTCGTGCTGCCGGCGCCGCCCTTCCTCCAGGCGTGTGTAGTATTCCTCCTCCTGTCTCCTCTAAGGGAATGGGAAGAGCCTGTTAGTGTGGCCAAGGCATGGCTGACTGTCTTGGACTGACACATTCTGCTGGAGGGAGGCTACCCATGGCCACAAGACAGCCAGAAGTCCTCCACTTCCTTATCTGTTCACTATGTGTCTGTATGTCTGTGTGTGTAATGTGCGGGGGAGACTACTCTGTGTACGGTGTTCTGGGTACTCTAATACTTTATGTGCTCTGTCTTTCCCTACATGCTGTGTTGAGAACCACCATAGGCGAGGAGAGGTATCACAGCTGTGGCAGTTTGAAGTGGTTAGGGTTAGACTACAGTCAAGTGATCCGATAGGCTTGAATTCAAGGACTTTTAGAGGGATTCTACGGTTTTAGCTCCGGAAAAGGGCAGGCTAGTAATTGAGATTGGTTGGCTCTGGTTTCTGTACATGGATCCCCTGGGTTAGTGTGTGTGTGGTGGGTGTTATGGTGGGTAGGTATATGTCATCGATGAGAGGATAGTGAGGCGAACAGAGATGATGTGTTGTTCTCTGGTATGGCCACAACAAACCACAGCAAGGGTGGGGCATTCCAACAGCAGTTCCAAAGCAATGCCTGATGAAATGACAATGGCTTCCCAACAAATGTAAGATTCCGTAAACAACCTGACACAGACAACAAGTGACTCACATGCTTTTTGGGGGTAGGGGGGTTACATACACCATACATAACAACACAGAGGAAGGGGACCATCATGAGGACATGCAGTTGGACATCATTGTCATTATTACAGAGCTTCAGATTACCAGTGGTCTGAGGATGACTGGAAAACAACAACTAAATCAATGGTCACACAGTGAAAACAAAATGGCGCTGGGATGTTGTAACATTGTCAGATAACTGGATGCTGATGCTCTCAGACCACTGGTAATTCAACGTCCCCATAACTGACTGGGACTATGGACACGAAACACTCAGTGCTCCAAAAACACACTTGGCCTCTGACAGACCAAACACCACCAGGCATCATTAAGATAAGTGAGCATCCTGTCTGTGTGTGTGTCTGCAGACTCCCTGGCTGCGGGCCCTCTGCTCTCTGGCCCAATACCACTTCCCCTGAACACAGAACACTGAATGGATTCCTCTTGTGTTCCTAAAAACCCAGCCAGACAGAGTCCCCTCCACAGTTCTCTGATTGGTTCATTGTAGAGGGGATGTTCACAACTCTTCATACAGGATCACTTACAGCTCCGTGGAGAGAGCGCGACCAGGAACAGTCGAAACCTTGAAAAAGCTGGTAATGTTAGCAGATTATAAAAAATGACTGCCTCAGTTGACCCACAACAGCCCCTGAAGGGAAGTGGTCCCACAGATCGGTCTTTGTTTTCCACTGTATAATTGTTCTCTTATGCTGGTGGGCTGTTTTGTTCAGGCACAGCTCCTTTTTCATGAGGTAAACTACAATTAGCTGGGCAGATCCCCACGGGGTAATACTATAATTACAGTGCAGCTAAGTCTCTCTGGGTTTTCACTCCGTTACTCTGATGCCCTCTGCTTCCGATCTGGCTGTGGCTTTCTGCTTTAATCTGCTCTGTTGGCAATGACATCAATCCTTTACAAAACGTAACTAGCGTCAAAAAACAAAAAACAAAAAATACTGAAACACAGCTGTGTGTAATAAAAGCATCTGGATTCCATTGAGGTATATCAGATTCATATTCATATAAAAAATAATATTATTACTGTATGACTGAACAGAAATCACTTTCATAGAAATGTATCATATAGTATGACCTTCAAGAACATAAGAGCAATCATATTTTGACTGAACCTGTCTAACCAGCTATGTGTTGGCTAACTGCTGAGTGAGGACTGTGCTGCGTATACGGTTCAGTGGGTCCTGTCAGGGAGGTGTACCTTCTCATCCACCTCTCTTCTGGCCCTGTCCTCCTCTCTCCAGCGTCTCTCCTCCTCCTGTTTGGCCCGGTCCTCCGCCTCGCGCTTACGGATCTCCTCCAGCTGCTGCTTCCGCCGCCGCTCCTCGTCCTGCAACTACACACACACACACACACACACACACACACACACACACCCTTCAGCACCATGTACACGGCCCGGGAACTCGTCCTACATGCTATGATCTCAGGAGTCTATGATCTCCTAAAAGGTGTGCTTGGAGGTAAATCTGATATATAGTGGAATATATTTTGTTAACGGTTTCATATACTAGACTCAAATGTGTTATATATAGGTGTCATTTGAGGCCCTGCTCTCCAAGGTGAAAAGGTGGAAATATAATTTAGTAACAAACTATTCTTAGCTCTACAACTGGAGTAGACCTACTGTTGCGCTAGTCTGTCTGTGGCCGCACTATGCCTAGTGCAGGTCAGGTTAGTTCAGACAGAAGCACCTGCCTTGGGTTCACAGTCAGTCAGTGTTTCCCCACTCCGTCACAGCTCAACAGTAAAGCCCTAAGGACTGCTATCAGGTCTGCATCTACACACGTCTATACACAGGCTAATTCAGCAGATTGGCCCCCTGTCAGGGGCCTCACACTGGCATTGGGTTTCCAGACAAGGGCCTGTTGTGTTGAAAACATCTAGGTCTAGATATTGTGGGAGAATGCTCTGTATGCTTAGTATACGTCTAGAGGTTTTTCTGGGTCCATTTCAGGATAGGTCGTCTGTGGTGAGAGCAGCAGTGTGCACTGCAGACAGGCACATGGCAACAGCTGGACATGCAGAATGAATGACGACAACGTGCAGCAGCATGGCAGAGCGGAGCAGAGGAGTGTCAGGTTTATTTTCACTGATGTCATGATGACCAAACAACAGACTGGAGGTCAATCACCAGATGAAACATGACTACAGACGGACAGTGGAAAACACTGTGCAAATTCCCCAATGAGAGAGGAGGAGAGCGATGCAGGCTGAGCACAAGCGTTGTTCACACACAGAGCTGGATGAGTGGAATGAAGTGGACTGACACCACACGGTACAATGATGGTTATGCCCCACATGCAGGTGACCACTGCTGGGGAGGGTCTTCCACCATGCACAGACCCTCACTGCAGCAGGCCAGGCAGCTCCCTGCTCTGAAACAACGGCTGCATAGTACTGAGCCTTCCTGGAACAAATACTGTATTTAACCATGCCCCAGTTAGTTTTAGATTTGTTGTTTGTTGGTTAGATTAGTGTTTGTTCTACTGATTTTCTTTCAGGGAGTTGTTTTAAATCAGGGTTGATGATTTATGTTATGAGGCATATTATGTGGTATTGTCTTTAAATGAGCCCTGACCAAAATACTTAATGTGGCTGTCTAGCTTTTGGCTCTTACAGAGACCAAGTTAGATCACTGTTCCACAGATAGACAGGGTCCCACAGCCAATGAGAATCGCAGGATGACTTCCCCATGGCCACTCTAGAGCCAATAGTGGCACCTCCAACTTCCCGAAACCCACCCCATGAGCACAGCAGCCGGCTCCCGGGCCTGATGAGGGGGAGGGGAGAGAATGAAGGAGAGGAAACACAGGTGGAGCCGAAGACAAGTAAGAAAGGAGAAAGAATGTGTAAAGCTAGAACGTACCAAGTCTAGAACAGAGATTGCTGGGACAGCAGTCTGCTGCGGAAGAAGAGAAGAAACCAAATAGAGAAAGAAAAGAGGGGGATAGAAACGTGGGATAAAGAGAGAGAGTAAATAAAGAAAAAGAAGAATCAGGAGGAGGGCATAGAAGAAGATAAAAGTGAAAACAGTGCTAGGGGTTTTGGAGGCAGCAGTGATGTGGTGCCAGGAACATTCCTCCCAGTATGGGACTGATTACTGCCAGCGGTCAATGTACGGCCCACTTCCCCTCAGACCGATAATGCTCCGTCCGATCCCTCGCTATGGAGCTCCCTCGTGCCCCCTCCCCCCGCTGAGATGCCCGAGCCTTGATGGCAGGGACTCGGAAGAATGTTGCTCACTACTAAAGGAAACTTCCTGGAGTCTCACTAGACAGTTTGAATACAAGGTCACAGCAGAGACAGTACTGCTGGAGACAGTATTGTTGTAACAGTTACAAATGAGGTGCAATATACAGGAGACCAAAGGGGCCTCGCTGGTTTATGTTAATCTGTGCTGTTATCTGAGGAGACCAGGGACATTAGCCTACGTTAGATGACGTATGGAAGTTTTCTTCTATTCAAGTAAGGCTGTTTTCTTGCAGAATGTAACAACACTTTCTGATGGCCATCCTGTTAGACCAGGAGATGAATCATTTCCAAATCTCCATGATGAAAAAAAAAAAGAACAATTTGTACTTTGCTATGTTTCCATGTAGGTTTGTTGTGCGTCCGGCATCCTGCCCCTCCCTCTCTGCAGCCAGTCAAGTACAGCAGCTCAGCTTAGCATGGCAAAGCAATGACATAAGCATGTTGCAGGTGCACACTGCAAAACATTCATTGTAGCTAGCTACTTAATGGGAGTTCCTCAGCGGAATTCCATATCCTATTCTGTACCCATTGAAGGGATACTTTGGGATATTGGCAATGCAGTCCTTTATCTACTTCCCCAGAGTCAGATGAACTCATGGATACCATTTTTATGTCTTTGCATCCAGTATGAAGGAAGTTAAAGGTTTCGCGAGCCAATGCTAACTATGGTTAGTGCAATGACTGAAGTCTATGGTATCTACTAGCATGCTGACAGTTACCATAGACTTCCAGTCATTGCGCTAACGCTAGTAAGCAATTGCGCTAACACCAGTTAGCAACTCCATTCAAACTGCACGCAGATACATAAAATGGTATCCACGAGTTCATCTGACCCTGGAGAAGTAGATAAAGGGCTTCATTGCCAAAATTCCAAAGTATCCCTTTAAGCCCAGTTCCATTTCCTCTTTTCCCACTGCCCTGCTTGGCCCATGGCTCACCCTTCCTTGGCATGAGAAATGTCATGCCCTGCTAGTCAAGTGGCTCAACATGTTCATAGAGCTCAGGTAATTTATAATGGGTCTACTGTAATCAATGATCAGTCTATGTGAATCTAATGATCTTAGCACTGAACATCTTGGGCCACTAATCTTCCTCCATACACCTTACCTCTGATGTGCTGTATGATTCTCTATACCGTAGCATACCTTCTCCATATTCTCCACTGTGCTACACTAGACCCCTGCTCTCCAGGGCAGCTCACCCTTGCTCTCTTCTCTGCCTCCAGCCGCTGCATGATCATCATGGTGTCCATGTCCTCGTCGTCATCCTCCTCATCTTCCTCATCACTCTGCTTGGACTCCTGCAGTCTCTTCTGGAACTGCCACTCCAACATCAGCTTCCTGAGCCGGTCGCTCTCCTCGGCCGTACGCTCCGGCTTGGCCTGCAGGTCCTGGATCTCCCTGTCCAGCAGGTCTACAATGTGCAGCTGCTGCTGTTTCTCCAGCTTCTCCCGGGCGTCCCTCTTCCAGGGGTCTGGGGACAGGCTGTCGCTGGAGGACAGCTCCGCCTTGCTGATGGTGATGTACTGCAGGTCCCGGCGCTCGATGGTGCGGGGCTGCTGCTGGGGGAGCAGCTCTCTGATCACTGTGTCCATGGGGTTTCCCTGAGGGGGCAGGGTGGTTGCTCTGGGCAGGGTGGACAGTTTCTCAGGCCTGGGGGGGCTGCTGCTGTTGGGCCTGGGTGGGGAGGTAGGGCTGGGGCACCTGCTGCATGGGCATGGGGGACTGGGGAGGGGGCATCTGATGGTGCTGTGTGGGAGGGGGGAGTGTGCCCCCGTGTTGGTGGTTGTTGTGGGCTACAGGCACGGATGGGTTACGGACCTGTCCCAGCTTCCTCTCCTGTTCCCTCCTCTTCCTCTCCCTCTCCTCCTCTAACCGGGCTTTCTCCTTCTCATACCATCGCTGCTGCTCCTCGCGCTTCTTGCGGTCGGCGGCGGCTGCTGCCTGCTGCTGGGAGGCTGAGGGAGGGGGGGGCAGGGGCATGTCGAGCTGGGGCTCAAAGTCCTGGTAGTGTACGGGGGGAGGGGGCGGTGGAGGGGGAGGGAGGTCTGTGCGTGTGGCCTGAGCCACGGGGCCTGGGTGCGGGGCGATGGGACCGGGGCCAGGGGTCTTCCAGCGTCCCGGGCCACTCTTATGGTTGCTCTGGGTCTTGTTGGAGGAGGAGTAGTTGAGGTGCTCCTGGCTGGAGGTGGAGGACTCCACGGAGGAGGAGACCTGGTGGTGGTTGCCCCAGTGTTCCCCACTGCCTCGCTGGTAGTCAGCCTCTCTCTGCTGCTGCTGGTGCAGGTGCAGGTGGACCAGGTCCTCAGGACGCAGGCCGGCTGGAGGGTAGCCCCCCGGGAGGTCACACAGCTCCTCCTGAGAGTGGCCCACCCGCTGAGAGGACAGACACAGCAGTCACATACACACACATTAACACAGTGCAAGAGCAGCACAGCACTTTTACAACACTGTATACTCCTAGTACATGTGTAAATTAACAACATACAGGTATAGTCAGTTGGTAGAGCATGGCGCTTGCAACGCCAGGGTTGAAAATGTATGCACTCACTAACTGTAAGTCGCTCCGGATAAGAGCGTCTGCTAAATGACTAAAATGTAAATGTATAGTATTTGATATTATGCTATTCAGACAAAACATTTCTGCATGATTCCTTTGCCCGTGTGCCCACCTGCATCGCCATGCTGTTGTTGTGGTGGTCTTCCATGGAACCAGGAGGACCCCTGTCGTCAGCGTATAACTGCCCCGCGGCCGGGCCCATCCGGTCTGTAGACTTGGAGGCTGGGATGGTGAAGTATTCCCTGGGGTAGGTCTGAGTAGGGATGGGGTAGGCCTCCGGACGAGGAGGAGAGGGCTCGTCCTATAGAGAAGGAAAAGGGGACTACTATTAGAACATACATTATGGTTGGCTAGGAGATCAAGACAACCGTTTTTGTGGTCCTATAGAAGGGATTATGCTATTCCAAACCATACATTAAGGTTGGCTAAGAGACGTCGGATAAACTAGACAATCGCTCGTGGTCACGGTCCAGATTTCATCAGTGTTATTAACGGTAGCCGATGGCGGTGGGGTCGTGTGCTCAGGGAGACCATTGTTTGTTGACAGGATAAGAATGTTGGTGAGGCAGCACACGAACGCCGCACCACAGCTGGGTAGCTAATCAGTGATAGTGGTTGGAGAGCTGATTAGGAATTTATTACAGGGGGAACAATAGATAAAGCCATTTTCAATTACGATGGAACGTTGTGATTTTCCTACCTATAATGACTCATATCTCTTAGTAATCTTGGTTATTGTTTTGATTGTGAGAGCTGAGAAGAACTGATTAAAAACAGGGAATGCTGCAATACTATATGGTCTGCGTGTGCTGGATCGCAGTTCTGTCGTACTCTGTGTGACCTGTCCAGTGGTGTGACTGGTAATGTCTTGTCATAACTGAGACAGCGTAGACCTTCTCCTCAGGGAGATATGCTACGGGAGACATTCCACTGGCTGGTGGTGTTGCTGTGGTTACTCACATCAGCACACAGGTTGCCCGTGGAGACGGAGGTGATCTTGGTACCAGGTCCTCCTGGGTAGACGGCCTTCCCTCCTGGACTCTGACTCTGGTCTGGAGGAAAACACCAGGTAGTCAGAGCTGAGCAGACACTAACTCAGTGGTCACACACACTACTCCAGTGATCACCATTCACCAGCAGGTTGACATTTATTGTCATGAATCTTGCAGTGGAGGCAGAACTGAGTGATTTCCACTAGATGGGCCATTTGCTTTTTGGTCTTAATTTAGATTTTATGACTTTGTGGCTGTGCTAGCTAGTGACCACTCTGCAGAGCTGCCTCCAGGTCAAGATTCATGACAATAAAACTGCCATTCATCATCTCTTGCCCCGGAGAGCTAAAAGGTTTGGAGGCTTTTGTTCCAGCCCAGCACTAACAAACCTGGTTCAGCGAATCAAGACACTCCCACAACTCCTCAGGAACAGGGTTATTACATGTACATTATGTCACATGGCCATTTAAATCCTTCATGTGCATCACACAGGAGTGCTGTATGGGTTCTATCCAGGCGATTCCGTGTAAAAGCATGCACAAATAAAGTTAGTTCTAAATGGAACCACATTCATAATTATCCTTAAGGTCCGCCCATATGTTGAAGTTTATTTGAAAAGTTTAAGTAGGAAATTGCATGAATTTTGACTATTACAGAGTAGGTGGCCAAGTCAAAAAATAATAATTTTCAGTCAATCGTATTTCATGGCTTATAGAAAGGACTCACAGAGCTTGTTTTTCCACTCACAGCTGTCCCCCAGTGTTAGTTATGATAAGATATTAATGAAGCAAGAGAGACCAAATTGAGTATTGTTGAGTATCTTGAGTATTGTTTGCGTGTTCTACAGTATTGTAAAGATAGTGGGCTGACTGGGACAGGCAATGTAACATCCAAAAATATCGCATTTAAACTTTCTCTGTAAAGCTAACTTTCATCAAGGTTTTATATGGTTTATAATTGGTTTCTCTTTTCATTATCAGTATCCTTTTCCAGCGTTATGATACAGTGAGGGAAAAAAGTATTTGATCCCCTGCTGATTTTGTACGTTTGCCCACTGACAAAGAAATGATCAGTCTATAATTTTAATGGTAGGTTTATTTGAACAGTGAGAGACAGAATAACAACAAAAAATCCAGAAAAACGCATGTAAAAAATGTTATACATTTATTTGGATTTTAATGAGGGAAATAAGTATTTGACCCCTCTGCAAAACATGACTTAGTACTTGGTGGCAAAACCCTTGTTGGCAATCACAGAGGTCAGACGTTTCTTGTAGTTGGCCACCAGGTTTGCACACATCGCAGGAGGGATTTTGTCCCACTCCTCTTTGCAGATCTTCTCCAAGTCATTAAGGTTTCGAGGCTGACGTTTGGCAACTCGAACCTTCAGCTCCCTCCACAGATTTTCTATGGGATTAAGGTCTGGAGACTGGCTAGGCCACTCCAGGACCTTAATGTGCTTCTTCTTGAGCCACTCCTTTGTTGCCTTGGCTGTGTGTTTTGGGTCATTGTCATGCTGGAATACCCATCCACGACCCATTTTTCAATGCCCTGGCTGAGGGAAGGAGGTTCTCACCCAAGATTTGACGGTACATGGCCCCGTCCATTGTCCCTTTGATGCGGTGAAGTTGTCCTGTCCCCTTAGCAGAAAAGCACCCCCAAAGCATAATGTTTCCACCTCTATGTTTGACGGTGGGGATGGTGTTCTTGGGGTCATAGGCAGCATTCCTCCTCCTCCAAACACAGCGAGTTGAGTTGATGCCAAAGAGCTCCATTTTGGTCTCATCTGACCACAACACTTTCACCCAGTTCTCCTCTGAATCATTCAGATGTTCATTGGCAAACTTCAGACGGCCTGTATATGTGCTTTCTTGAGCAGGGGAACCTTGTGGGCACTGCAGGATTTCAGTCCTTCACGGCTTAGTGTGTTACCAATTGTTTTCTTGGTGACTATGGTCCCAGCTGCCTTGAGATCATTGACAAGATCCTCCCGTGTAGTTCTGGGCTGATTCCTCACCGTTCTCATGATCATTGCAACTCCACAAGGTGAGATCTTGCATGGAGCCCCAGGCCAAGGGAGAATGACGGGTCTTTTGTGTTTCTTCCATTTGCGAATAATCGCACCAACTGTTGTCACCTTCCCACCAAGCTGCTTGGCGATGGTCTTGTAGCCCATTCCAGCCTTGTGTAGGTCTACAATCTTTGCCCTGACATCCTTGGAGAGCTCTTTGGTCTTGGCCATGGTGGAGAGTTTGGAATCTGATTGATTGATTGCTTCTGTGGACAGGTGTCTTTTATACAGGTAACAAGCTGAGATTAGGAGCACTCCCTTTAAGAGTGTGCTCCTAATCTCAGCTTGTTACCTGTATAAAAGACACCTGGGAGCCAGAAATCTTTCTGATTGAGAGGGGATCAAATACTTATTTCCCTCATTAAAATGCAAATCAATTTATAACATTTTCGACATGCGTTTTTCTGGATTTTTTTGTTGTTATTCTGTCTCTCACTGTTCAAATAAACCTACCATAAAAAGTATAGACTGATAATTTCTTTGTCAGTGGGCAAATGTACAAAATCAGCAGGGGATCAAATACTTTTTTCCCTCACTGTATCTGTAACATCCATAACAGTTGTGAATGTGATGGACATTGATGTATCATATCTTATGCTTCAGAAGCTTGTGCATTCAACATATTTTGTGTGCTCGTTCTGGGATGTATTCTTCAGACTTTTACTGAAGTAATTGATGATATCTTGAAAATTATGTGTTCTAGCTAATATTCTCTTGGAAAAGGTATGCTGAAATGCATTTCTCATACATGGCAGTACTGTTTTTCAGATAGAAAGATGAGAAGTGTTTATCAACAATCTTTGAATAGTGCTGGAGTGTATTTTTCAAGTGAAAGCCCCCCCCCCCCCCAAATACACTAACTTCATCCAGTGTCCAGAAAAGTTGATTGGCACTATAGGCACATGTATTTAAATTCAACTGGTAAAGTTACCTATTAAGGTGTGGTGTCTGGCCTTGTATACTATTAAGACTACCTGTAATTATTCAATCCTAAGGTACCATGCCAGGGGTGTCAAACATACGGATCCGGCCGGCTAGGGGGTCCAATCTGGCCCGCGGGTGGTTTGAGTAAAAATTGTATAAATGTATTGAAACAAACTCAATATACTTTAAAATGACTAAAACCAAATCAAAACTGAGTAGAAATGATAATAGACCTATATTCATACAGTTTCTTGACTGTCCAGATCGCTAATAATCACCAGGGAGCATCCAAAATTTCATAAATGATGGATAGAGGACTATTTATTGCAAGGAAATATAACCAATTTTCAGTGCGGCCCTCTGGACCTCGTTGAAGACTGAATGCAGCCCCCGGGGCAAAAAGAGTTCGACACCCCTGTATTATGCCTTCAGCTGACATAAAAACATTTTTTATGATAGATTCGGAACACGAAATTTATAAGATTTCAATGTCTATTTCAGACTCTAATATCCACAATGGAGAGTAACATCTATAAGGGTTGTTTTTCCTCTATAAGGTAATAATGGAAATGACTGTTTTTGTTGTTGTTTTTGTGTTCAGCCAAGCCTTTCCTTCGAAATGACAATCCATGACTTGACCTAAGACAAACTCAGACTTTTGCTAATATCTCCCCAAAAAGCTTGTCCATTTCAAGTAACATCCATAATGCTTCTTATTTGCTTTATTTTTCCAACATGCCAATATTTTTTTATATTTATATATTTTTTAACCAAATCACAAAACATAAATAACAAAATGCAAAACATACAACATGTCAATATTAACAAGTCAACTTTTTGGAGTATGCACTCCCCACAATGGGTGCTATATTCACACATCAAAAGTTCCATTTCTATTTTGTTTGTCCATTCTGTGAGACAATAAATTTTGTGATTTTGCGTGCAAATGTAATGTCCATAACGCTGGAATCGCCCATCTACTCACTGGCCACGTTGGGGCTGGAGCGGTGGTCTGCCCGGTTCTTCAGTAGCCTCTCCTCCCCGCTCATCTTCTTTGGTTCTGGGTAGGCCTGCCAGTCGCCCTGGGGACTCTCTGGAGAGCCGTTCTGGACTGAGTTATTGTACAGTTCAAAGCCTTCACTCTTTGGTCTCAGTTTACCATTCTTGTCACGCCCTCCTTGTAACGCTGAGAAGAAAGGAAAGGGAGAAAGAGATGGAGGATTAATGAGCCAACCACAGCAGACAGTACATGTAGAATGGACATCATTAACTATCTGCAGCCACATTCTCAGTACAAACACTACTAGCCAGCCAACGCCCCATAAACTACAACAGTCTCTCTCCAAAACCACAGAAGTATAGGCGGAATGTTGAAAACAAAACAAAGCAGACTTCTGACATTTCATGGAATCTGGAGCCCTAATGCCAACTGCTAAGTTTTGTCCTGTATGACGGGGTTTGGGGGGGGGGGCACAAACCCTCATTATCTACTTAGTCAAACCTCGGCCTTCCTCTGACTCTACCCCGTTACTGGGGACAACAAGGAGAGACATTGTCTGCATCTGAAATGGCACCATATTCCCTATATAGTGAATTACTTTTGACCAGCGCCCTATGGACCATGGTTAACAGTAGTGCACTATATAGGGAATAGGGTGCCATTTCAGACACCCCTGTTGTCCTAGCAGACCCTTACCTCTGGGCATCATAGGAGAAGGCTGGTTGAGGAGTGTGGCCAGACCGTGGAAGATAGCTCCCTGTTTGGCCACCTCCAGTGTTACCACAGAGCCTGTCCTCGTCATCAACTCTGCAGCCCTGAGAAGAGACATCAGATATATTACTGGGACTCAGAATACATTGGACTGGAGAGATGATTGAATGCAACAGAACAAAACATGTTTATGAGACTTTCATTGGCAGACGAGGTTCACATAACTGTATCAGGAATGGTATTCCCCATATGCAATAGTATTTTGAAGAAGTTCATTTCGAAACAGTTTAAAGTTAATTTCCCAACAGTTTTAGACTGTGTTTGGCGCTCAAGCCTTGTGGTTTATCATTGGCAAACAAACACACACACTAACTTCTCAAAGCAATCACCAAATCCAAGATTTGGACCAGATTCTGTTGTCAGTTTAAGAGCAGATATAAAAGTGTAATGAGCCATATGCTTTTAATTCAACGTGGCAATTAGATTTTAAAACTTTAACTAACTACGCATCCCTCTGTTTTTCATACGAGAATAGAAAACAATGTTATAGATTGGACACTGAGCCTCAACTGTTTTGGCATTTGGAAACCAAAAGAACATGGCCAAAAGGTTTGTGCATGTTTGTCTGAAAGGGTATCATTTTTATTTATTTAAATGTTTTGGTGGGTGCTTATATTTGTCCTATGTACAAGTATGTATTACACGCATGTGTGAATTGGAAATTAGTTTTTTGCATATCCCAACTCTCCCCGAGACACCCTCAGAGAGTTATCAAGCAATTAGGGTTAAGTGCCTTGCTCAAGGGCACAGACTGATTTTTCACCTTGTCACTCGGTGATTCGAACTAGCGACCTTTCAGTTACTGGCCCAGAGCTCTAACCCAACACTAACTAATCTGAGAGAGGCGTGAACCAAGGATAAGCTATTCATTACTACTAGACCCATCATAAACATTGTGGAGGTCATTGTAAGTCAGTGCACTGTAGATAAGTCTCTGCTTGTTCTACGCGATTGAGCTAATTCATTTCTATGGTGTGACTGCTGCTATTGAAAGAGCTTTTGGTATCAAATTGGCCTTGACGTTCCCTATCCGTTTTATCTTGGTTTCTCCACTCTTCAGCACATTACGTGTCCTGCTTCACTCCTAAACCCAGGTTGTTCTGTACACAAGGTCCAATTAGTGTGTCGTGTTGGGGAGTGACCCGGGGCGAGGCAGGTCAGGGAAGTTTGAGGCGTTACCTCTCCTGGGAGAGGCCCACCAGGCTGCGGCCATCTACACTCAGCAGCTGGTCCCCTGCAGCCAGACGACCGTCCTACACACACGCAAACAAATGGAACGCGCACACAGACACACAGAGAAAGAGGGGAGGAGAGAGAAGTCGTATAATAGCAACAGTGCACACATTGAAAGTCAATCTAGAGGAGGTCATTCTGTACAGTTACAGGATGGAGTCGTCATGATCTAAAACCCTCACCACATCAGCCGCACCTCCCTTCACAACAGACTTGATGTAGATCCCAAGCTTGTCCTGTCCAGCACCCTTGAGAAAGACAGACAGAAGGGAACATTCACTACACAGGCCAGACAGACAGAACACTTGGACATAAAGAATGTCTGGCTGGAACACTTGGCCCATAGTGTTCTGTTGTGACACATGCTACTGTGGCCTGGTAGAACATTGTTAACACTAAACAGAGACCATTTAGTATTAACATAGCAGCACAATTCCTCAATAAATCACACAGCTACTGTAGCACTGTGTGGAGCCATCTGTCTGCAGTGAACTGCCAGCTAAATGAAACTATTCATCTGGAGTCTAGAGACTAGAGACCCTGAGCAGGACTATTTAAATGAATCGACAAAACAAACATGGTACTAATACTAAGAATAATGAGGCTACATGAGACGAGGCCAAAGGTGGCTTGACATGATCCGTGCCATCTGCTGTTCCCGTTAAGCGTCAACACATTTAAATCACAGGAAAACTGAGGGGATCCCCCTAATCCCTCTGCCCAAACTAAAATAAGGTCTTAAATCACTTCATACCAGTTAAAACCGGTTAACCTAAATCATTTCACAAGCATCCCATTGAAATACAATCCTAGAGTAGTGTGGAAGAATTCCTGAGAGTCAGTGTTTCATGAGAGTGGACTAAAAATGTATCTACCGTAATGAAAAGGTATTTTCCCATGGCTGAGCTCTCCAAAGGTAGCAGAGGGTACTACCCAATATGGCATGCCCAGACTGGCAAGATTTCAGTTAGCCAGCTTTTGTCCCCCCCCCAAAAATGAAAAGCCGATAAATAAAATTGCCACCGGCCAATTGTCTGGGAAAAGAAGAAAAAATCCCATTGATAAATAATGCTTTTTAGCCTATTCATTGATGGAAATACCAATCGATGGAAATACATTTGACTGGTCATGCTTATCGGTCTATAGGTTAATTTTCATAATTTAGTGGAATGAAATTGGCGCGTCTACAGTATATTTGTTATGTATCTTATTTATCGCATACAGATACAGAGCCTTTCAGGAGAAATCTGTCAGACAGTGGCAGAGCTGCTGCTGCAGCATCTTGTGGTGCTTTCAAGACAACTAGGAACTCTGAAAAATACAAGGTCAAATCATGACGTCAGTGATCTTCAGGTCAGAAAGTCGGAGCTCTAGAAAGAGGCCCGAGTTCCCGAGTTGGAATTCCGAGTCGGATGACCATTCAAAACACAGTCGGAGATTTCCGAGTTCCCAGTTGTTTTGAACGCGGCATCAAAACGCGTCACACACCACTTTGCAATGAGTTGGAGGTAGTGAGTGTTGCAACAGAGGACAGAATATTTTTACTTCAGCACTCAGCGGTCCCGTTCTGTGAGCTCGTTGTTGCTCCTAGACGTTTGGAAAGGTGGCATCCTATGACGGTTCCACGTTGAAAGTCACTGAGCTCATCAGTAAGGCCATTCTACTGCCAATGTTTGCCTATTGAGATTGCATGGCTGTGTGCTCGATTCTATACACCTGTCAGCAACGAGTGTGGCTGAAATATACAAATCCACTAATTTGCAGGGGTGTCCACATACTTTTGTCTATATAGTGTATTATGAGACATGTCTTACCTTGCTTCAAAGTAACCTATTAGATCTCCTCTCTTTCTACATTTTTAATGGATATTTTCATCTCGGTCACATGGAACCGCTTGCACGTGCAGTGCCCTTTTGATAACTGTGTGGTTTACCGCTAATTGCATTATGGAATGAACATTTGTGTGTAGCCTACTGCCTTGCGCGCATTGCTGCACTTATAATGTGAAGAAATAATAGTTTATCAACATTTTAAGCTAAACGCTGTGATCTGTTGCATCAGATTCATTGCTTTTTTATGTAGCCTAGGCCTACTGGTTGGATGAATTTAGGATCTATCGTCCCACAACTGTCCCAGAGTCAGTTTGGAATAGGCTATTTCTTTCTCGACAAGCTGACCAATAGAATAGGTAGCCTAACCTTTTCTCCTATAGTAGATTGATATAAGCTATTGATTTTGCTCTTAGTTACTCGTCTTGTTGGCTGAGGAAAAGTACATTTGGACAGTTATAACATGTTCAAAGTGCACATCAGAATTTGGTAAGAAGGACCGCACGTTATTGCATCTGTGACTTGCATGTTCTGTTAAGATGAATTACCATATTCTAAATGTGATTTCTGTCTTTCTGAGCACTGTGGGTGGATGCCCTAATCAGGTTACGCACTCAATGCAGTAAATTAAAATGTTGTCGGTCAAATGTCCAGCGCCACATTTTCCTAACGGAAATCTTAGGCCAGAGCCAGCTGTAATATTTGGGGAAGATCAGGTAGAGATCACATTGAGCTGCCTGGGATAGTACTGTCTTGTTCAATGTAATATAATTTAATCTCAAAATAACACGAGAGCCCTGTTCACATGGATCTACTGCCCAATAATACCAGACAATCCTAAAAAGAGCTTTCACCTGTACAAACACAGCAGGCCAGATAATAGACACAGGCTGTACTCCTACTTTGTAACTCAAGAACTATTGCTCTTTACAAAGTTCGTAACTCTTTTCAGATTGTCTGAAGGAACCCATGCAACAGGAATCAAATGAGCTTGACTGAGAGAACTTGCCCACCAACCACTATGAGTGTGTGTTGTTGAGAACAAACTGTTAGTCTCTGAAGTAAACATTAACTCCTTTATTAAATTCAAGGGAACCAACACCAGAGAGACAGCAGCCAGACCAGAGAGGGAGATCACAGCACTGCTCTCCTCCATGGTCAACAACACATTCCTCTATAAGGTGCAGCAGATAGCTCTGCCACACAGCACAGCCTGCCTGGTGGTCCTGCTCCTCCACAACCTGGTCCACAGCACCAGTTCAACACCACCTTATTACTCCAGTGCAGTGACTCATGAGTGCATGAGACCCTGTATCAACATTACAGTCTGTGCAGTAACACCTCCTGACGCTGGGCGACATAAAGGATGTGTGGTGGGTCCTGGTGACCCCTAACAGAGAGAATAGCAGGGGATTGTGGGGAGAGATGAACTCCAGCTGGAGGTGCTAATAATGCACACGTCAAACACGAGAACCGGGATTGGAGGGCTTAACCAGTAAAAGCCACCCATGTGCGGGCTCATTGGCCATCTCATGCGAAGCCTGCTGTGGATGCGACACACTGTTGTTTTAACTCTAATGTGTGGTGGTCAGCTGAGAAAGGCTGGCGGTCGACACTAAAGCCAGGGGAGAGGTTTGGACAGTCGCCTGCTGTCTGTCTGAACATCTGTTTATTCCTCAAAGCGTTTAATGGGCGTTGTGAAGAGCTGCCAAAACAACCACTGAAATGTAAACCGGTGAGGATTCGACTACCACACTCCTTATATTGAAGCCTTATGTTGGATGCTAACGCAAACAATGTAAAGACAGAGAGGATCTGAAGAGTAAACACAGACACAGAGAGAGAGAGAGAGAGAGACAGAGAGACAGAGAGCGAGAGAGACAGAGACAGCGAGAGACACCGAGAGACACCGAGAGAGACAGAGAGAGAGAGAGACAGAGACAGAGAGAGACAGAGAGAGACAGAGAGAGAGACAGAGAGAGAGACAGAGAGAGAGACAGAGAGAGAGACAGAGAGAGAGACAGAGAGAGAGACAGAGAGAGAGACAGAGAGAGACAGAGAGAGACAGAGAGAGAGACAGAGAGAGAGACAGAGAGAGAGACAGAGAGAGACAGAGAGAGACAGAGAGACAGAGAGAGAGACAGAGACAGAGAGCGCGAGGGAGAGAAAAAAGTGAGTGCGAGCAAGAGGGAGGGGTCTGTGGGTAAGGAAGCCACAGTAGCGGGGAGGAAACGCAGAAACAGAATCCGCCTGAGAAAGCCTGGCTATTTACACCACAATAGACCATCATCAGCACCCACCCACCCAGCCCTCCACTACGCCAGTGCTCATATTCACTGGGAAACAAACATTACTATAGGCTTTATAGAAGAACCTACAACTGGGATGCAGCAACACAGGTAATAACTTTGATGTCCAATGTCACTTTGAATCGATTGCATCATACAACAATTGTTCTAATCTAGCACAACTACTACCACAGAGCCTCGGATACACAAAAACGAGACAAGAGGCTGAAAACCAGCAGACCTCAACCCTCTGAATAGAGAGAATCAGATAAACCAGCAGCATACAGTAAAACACGTGTCAAACACATTCCACGGAGGGTCCAGTGTCTGTTCGTTTTCACTCCTTCCTTGTACTTGATTGATGAATTAAGGTCACGAATTATTCAAGAACACCTGGTTGTCTAGGTCTTAATTGAAAGTAAAAACCAAAAAACCAGCAGAACCTAGGCCCTCCATGGAATGAGTTTGACACCCCTGCAATAAGAGATGCCTTCAGATACATTGAATACATCAATCTGTTCAGTCTTCAGTTCAGTCTACGCTAATCTGGCGTAGGTGTGTGTGTTTGGTTATGACCAGTGCTGTCACTGGAGCTGTGGCACGGACTCCTCCTAGAGGGGCGTCATCTTAGCCCGGAGGGGGACATTCCAGAGGGCCACCCGTCCTCCCGGGGAACATAGGGACACAATGGTCCCGCTCACACACAGAGGGGTCTCCTTACACAGGTCAGGACTACTGGCCCTCTGCCAGGCTGATACAGATTCATGTTTATTGTCCTACAAGAGGAAAATCTTACTACAGCTTACATTTGGCTGGGGACAGGAGACTGGGCTTAGTGAGAGAACCAGGGCGCCAGTTTCATCTATAAGTCACTGTCACAAGGGAGAAACAAACCTGGGAATCCGCGTGTGTGTGAACGTGTGTGTCTGTGAATATGTGTGACACAATGCCACTCGGGTTGTTGTGACCGATACGACATCATTAGGTCACCAAAAACAAAATAGTTCATGTTCTTTCAGGTGTCCAATCTAAAGTCATAACTAGGTGCCACCTGATCTCTCCAAAACATGTCACAACTTCAGTTACCACAGAAACAAGTAGCCTATTACAGTATAAGTCACGTTCTAGATCAGTGGTATTCAAACTTTTTCAGCAGGGACCCCATTTCTCCACCAGTATATTCATTTCCCCAAAACATAAATTGTGTTTATTTTTTAAGTTTGGAGA